GCCAAGTAAAATTCTTCCTCACAAAATCACGTAAACAAATTTGTTGGCCACTCGCTACCAACACCACTTTTACGCAGATGAATGTATTGTTGGTGTGTGTTTCCACCGCTAAGCTACGCCACACGTTCCGTTTCAGTCAAGACGCACTCAAAGACTGGTTCACTCATCTGCACCAAAGTGCCGAAGTCAAGTTGGTTGCGGTAGTAAACTGTTGACAACATATATATATATATATATATACATACATACATACATGCATATAGTCATACATTCGTGAACATATCTCCAAATCCATCTCTCCAAAACTCATATTTATGGTAGTGAATATTTCTTTTCGAATTTCTTTTAAACTTTTTCCCACCAATTCATTCACTGGCTTGCGAGCGCACACACACACTCATTCACGTCGGCACGAATGTATGCGCAGCTGCGCATGGTTAAGCGTTTTTTGGAGTTTTGCGTTTCTACGTCTTCAGCAGATTTCAGTTGCAGCTGCCGGACTGCGCTGTGCTCTAAGTGGAGCTTTAATGCCGCACTGCACTTTGTTGGATTTTTCGCTTGGCAGAGCATTTCTGTTGCTCAATTGTAGTGATTTGCTTACTCATACCAACAGCAACGAAATTCACTATTGTTAAACGTTTTTCGTTTGACACTTTCCTTCAGCTCTTTTTACATTATATTTTTATTTTTATTCTTTTTTTTCATTATTTACTCGCAAAATCAACTGCTCACTTTCAGCAATATAAGCTCGTTTGTCACCAAACACTCTTTAGCGCTTCTTTACAGCAGAAGAAACCAAAATACAGATGCTTTTTTACAAACCCGTTAAGTGTAGTTCTCTGCTGTTCAGTGTGTCACCAGTTTTCTGCTTGACCGTCGTTAACCACACATTGTTATGAATTTGCGTGTGAAGCAGAAATGTTGGTAACATTAAATAATTTATTTTTCATGTAAGTTTGTGACGTCATTGAACTGCAAAGAGCGTTTGCTGATAGCCGGTTGTTAGAGGAGCATAAACTGCACTATCTGCGCTTGAATGTGACGTAAATTTACTGTTATGTGACTTTATGCTCGTACTGCTTTTGTATTGATAAAAATGCATCTAATTGGGTTTGAGTTTTTCTCCATAGAGTCTTCAACGTCTGCTTCGGGGTAGCGATTTATAGGTTTTCAGGACTTCTAAGCATAACCGACATCCTCTGCAGCTCGAGCGAATACTTGTGGCTTCTTGAACCCACTTTATTAGGTATATATTTTCCATCAGTGGGCTAGGCCTATACTTAAAGATACCACAATCTTGAAGGACGCTGGGTGAACTTTTTATGACATTCTAAACTGAAACTCAGTACTTTATCCATTTATACAATTCATAGTATTCGCGCTTAAAGTGTGACACTTTCAAAAAAATCGGGTTTCCTGACATTTTTCGATTGCTTATACCTTCCAAAAAACATACTTCGAGCTCCAGTTGCGTAACTGGACTCGATCCATCTGAGATCAGTCATGTAAGTTTAAGTGTAAGGTATTTGTTACAGACGCATTTGTTTTCGAAATCGCGTTTCCGAAATTTGCTGTCAATGTAACTCAAAAACTAGTCATTCGACCGCTTTTTTTCGGGCATAAAGTGGTCCTCGTATATTTTGATCAGTTTAAATTTGTAAATTTGGCATGAAAAATACCCTTTGATTTTTAAGCTAAATTTTAATTTTTTTTTTCAAGCTCATTTGCAAGCCAGTTTGAAGTTCCTACAATCCTCTTTAACTCATTTTTTGTCTCTTTCATTTTAGGTACCCTGAAGGCACGGAGGATGACAGCGAAATCGTCGAATATTCAACGAACATATTTTCTTAAGAAAACTTTTCAAAAATCTCCTTTTTGGCTGTCACACTCGTTGAGCTGCTTGAAGTGGCACGCAGCATTAAATTTAATCGAATAATAATAAAAATGACCAATAATTTGTAACGGTGCTCCAAATAATCAATGTGATGTGAAATATCGATTAATTCTAAATTTATTTTTAGTTGCATTCATGCAGTATTGCATCCAGCTTTCCTCTCAAAATCTGATACAATTGTCAGTTATTACGAAACAGTTAGAATGTTCATTCAAAATGCTTTTATGAAATGTTGAAAATATAAAAATACAAATTCTCTAAAGCTATTAAATGGTTATTAACCGTTAGTAAGTGGCTGGTTTTATTTACCACAACAACTACGATACAGAAAATTTTCAAAACTGCTTTGATAACATACAACAATAGTGTAATTCATTTACATTGACCGTGACACAGCTACGGACTTGCACGTGAGTTCAACGTACCAAACCATTCGTAAAATCCCTAAGAAAACGATGAGCTGCAGTCTAACAATAAAGAGTTATGCACTCATGTAAATACTCTGCGCGTGCCAGTAGGAAATTTTCCTTGAATAAGACTTGGCATAAGACTATAGATTTAAAATATAATTGTTTATATTCGAGCTATTTTTTGTATATTTAAAATTATTTCAAGGTAAGAGCTACCTATACCGTTGCTAGTTAGTTACAAACTGAACTTGTTAGTGACAACAATACTGGAAAGTGAAAAATGTAGAGTGTGAAAGTTGTTACATAAACCTTTTTGTATAGAAAAGTAAATTGTTTTTTATTAGGTATTATTATTAATATTATTAATTTTATTGTTAATTATAATTAATATTACAAAACAATTATCTAAAAACAAGCTACCAGGGCTTTCGAGCTAGTCATATGGTTAAACAAAAGATAATAAATTTATTATATTAACAATTATTTACATTAAGTGGTAGATTTTTATAAGTTTTAAAAATGTAGAAATTAGGTTTATGATAATTTCGGAGGGGTATGGTAAGATAGACTGTAGTGGATTACAGTTTCCAAAAAATTGGTTCCTTAGATTGTGGAGACCTGGACAGCTCAGTAATATGTGGTTCACTGTTAGGTTTGAGTTATTGCTCAATTGGCACGTTGGCTGTGGAGTTAATAGCATAATACAAACGTGGGTGAGTTGAGTGTGATCAAGTCTTAGGGGTATGAATCCCATGTTGATGTACAATACTACCAGGAAGTTTTATGGCAGTTTCCTGAGGGCTTATTTCTCTATATTAAACTGTCTTAATTCTTAATAAATAAGAAATTGTACCACAAGTTTGGTGACTTTTATTTAACTCGAAGGATATGGGAAATCATCGAAGCGTAATTGAGAAAAATAGTGACAACATAATATATCTGTATGTTTTAATAATTTTTTATAGAATTTTCTATAAACCATAAATCAAATATAAATGTTATAAATGTTTGTGGGAGTGCATGTATATATAAATTTTCCCATATTCCATATTAGCTGCATATAATATCAATAAAACAAATTTTTGAATAAATTTCTTTTTTTACAACTTTGTTTCATACAAAAAAATACTTAAAATGTAATTTTTAGTTTTCAAAGAAATCTATTTCTTGAAAGATATAACCCATTTTCACGTTATTAAGTGGTAAGAAATTTCCCACAGGGTGCTCACAACCGTTATTCCTGAGCGTTAGACAACAATCATTGTCACTTGTTACTAACATTTTTTATTTACGGTATATTCCAAAAGTCGCAGGTGTAAGTAAATGAGTTTTATTGTGCTCCTTTGTTATGTAAAGTTATTTACAACATTGACCTTATGAGCCAATTATAGCTCAGCAGTTGTTAAGTTGGTTGCGACTGTTAGGAGAGTACTTCTGCATATAAATACTTTATTATTATATAATATGAATGAATGCTTACCTTTTTACTTTTATATACCTTTATACGTATTCAGCCAGTTTAACAAAAATGAAAAAATAAATACCAAAATCCCAAACCAGAGAAAAACACCAGCATATTTTAGATATTTAAAAAGAGATCCATTAGTTAGAATTATCCAATTTAGGTGATATACGCTGTTTTGTTCGATAACTGGTTGCCGTTTTAAAGATAATTCCATTATACCTCTCTCACAGAAACCCTCGTTTATATTTGCAAAACATTGCGACCGTCGATTTTCAAAAGCCTTTCTTGAAGCGAATTTGTTCACCAGCAAAACAGTTCGCACTATAAGGTGGATGCATAAGAACCTCCCAACAAATCTTCCGAAGCTTCTGGCGAGTCATTATTGTTAATGGTACAGTTCTGAGTTATAAGCTTTGCCGTACGGGAGCAGCTAATAGTAAATAACTCCCTGCCAATCTCACCAAACATAGCAAAACCTTCCTGGCCGTCACTCCTGGTTGGGCTACGGTTTCCACCGGCTCACCGATTTTCAACCTCTACTATTATCGCTTGACGTTGTCGTAAGTGATCCATTTTTCATCGTTAGTTACCAACTGCTTCAGGTATGGATCGAGTTTGTTGCGACTCAACAGCGATTCGCAGATGGAAAATCGGTCTTTGATATTTTTTCTCGTTTACCCATACATCGAGATTCATTGTGCATCAAGCCTTTTTCAAGTGGTTCCAAACGATTGTTTGTGCATTCTTTGGTCTTCAGGCAATCAAAACAGTGCTTACGTGATGGTCGGGCTTGACAATGTCCATGATTTTATCGACATTTCCCACAATTGGCCTTCCACTCCGGGAAGCATCTTTTATATCCAAATTATCGGAACAAAATCGACGAAACCGAAATTGTGCGTGATTGGCTGTTGCAGTATCAGGACCATAAACTCTGTCACAATTTCAGCCGCCTGATAACGTATTTTCCCATCGCTAGTGACCATCTTTGACGCACGCTCAAGCTAAACTGAATCAACCATTGTCAGAGAGGCATGAAATCTCATCTTTCTAATGCCATCGAGTGGAATCCTTGCGGGAATTACACAGCGCGAGATACAGTATAAATAACGCTAGCTATTGGAAAAATAATGGATTTCTTTCCTTTAATTTTGGGAATTAAAAGTGTTATGATTTTATTATATTTCAATATAATTTTATTTCAAAGTATAAGGTTTTTCAATAAATAAATATGAGTGTAAATAATAATACAAATACAAAATACAGTAAGAATTCTGCTACAAACTCTGCTCTCAGCTCAGTCTCACTTCTTCCCTGCCTGCGTCGAACGAAAACTGTTGACCCAAGCATAACCGTTCCAATAGGTATTTGTGCCCGTATTTCGGTTGTAAGGATTGTATGGATTGTATGAATTGTACTTATTAAAGATATTGTATGGATTATAGCCGTTATAGCCGTTATAGCCGTTGTAATTGATGTAGCCATTATAACCGTTGCTGTTGTATGGATAGCTGGAAGGATTATTGTTTAAATTATTCCAGTAGGTTGAGTAATACTGGTAACTTGGGTAGGCATATTGCCCAATAACCCAGGGCCATATACGTATATTTTGTCCATACCCGGTGTATGGTGTGGAGCTCAGCTGCGAGAATTGCGGCAAGGATGTTGTGTAAGGATCCACATACGTGTATTGCGGTGCTGCCAGCTACATGTAAGGAAAGTAACACACATATTTAAAAATTAAATTTAAATGTAAATTTTATTTCTGGTTGCCTTTTCATTTTGTATTTACCGTAATTGCAATGCCGCAGGCGCACAGGAGGAAGGCAAATAAGATTTTCATATTTTTAGAATTTTTTTTTCGAATTTGTTTATTATTATTTATTATTATTTCTCGATACAATTGTCGTTGACACTTGCCCAGCTGTGGTGGAACTGTTTGAAATTGTATGATTTTCATTTGTTTAAATAGTGCGATTCAGTTGGCATTTTCGTTTTAGTAAAAATAATAAAAAAAAAAATAGAAAAAAATTATGGGAAAATTTTACTTTTTCCAAGCATAGATTTGTAGCTTCAGTAAATAAATATTGTATGTATTTACGCCCATTTTTAAAACAATTTAATTTTAATTTTGTCATTGAACTTGACTTTGTGTTGATTGAGCTCAGCGCACAGTTCGCTTCAGCATTTAACAGTAATTTGCTTAAACAACAATACTGTGTTTAAAAATTTTATCAAATTATCGAAAAACCTACTCACTCGAGACGTTAATTTGTTAGCACAAAGTGCTTGTCAGAAATATGAAATCATATGAAACGGTTTAGCTATATTTGTTTTTGGTTGTGGTGATTTCATATAAAAATCTGGGAGGTAAAGTTAACAATGGGTGGATTGAGCATTATTTGGTAGTAACCAAAATGGGTGTGATTATCACAAAATTTATAATTCGTGGTGCGCTTCCCGGAATTTTTCAACTAATGGGGTAATCTTCAGGTTTTTTGCAAGTTGTTTCCGCACTTCTAGTGGAGTTTTTTGAGGCGCTTTTTAATTCATGTCGAAATATTGACAGTGAGTCTGACATTTCCCACCGAGAGCAGCCGCGGAAAATATAAATCTTTGAATTAGTTGTCATGCATACCTCTTAAAAAGTCAGACAATAGACAGATCTTCAGCTTATTGGGATAAACAAGAAATACCCGAGCTGTGCGCAGATCTCTCAGGTTCAGGCTATAACATAAAAGGCATCTACTACGAGAAGCCAAGCGCCATGAACTGCAAAGAAAAAGCAAAAGAGCAAATTAAGCATGAGACCCTATCCTATGGTTTGAAAAAAATTGTTCAGCGGTGTCGAATCGCAAGATCTTGGAAGCCACGCCATAGTCCCATAACGTGAGATATTGCGTTTACCAGATGACACGAACCATTGTCTTGTTTGAACCAAAGGTCGTCCACGTCAACGTCCTCAAATTCAGCCACGAAGAACTCATTAATCATGGCTCTATAGTGTTCTTCGTTGACTGTTAGAATATAACCAATGAAATATAGACAGATAATTCCCTCTGCCCAAGGCTTGTTGTTCGAACCACGCTTCTATATAATATTTTGAAATAAGGAAATCGGATAGTGTAACTACTGTTGTCTGCCTTGAAGATAGAGCTATGTCAGTACACTTAATCAAAATGTGATAGAAACAACGTGATTGGAGTTAAGTTAAAAGGATGCAAATATTTCCAAGAGACATTTGAAATGTGCTAGCAAAAAAGTTAGTAAAGTCAGCTATAGCAAGACCCAAGCCAAATATAGAATTCCCGAGGCCACGAGTGGGAAAGTTTCTTGGGGACGTCATTTCTTCCACTCTAATGTATCTTGCGCCAATTAGAACTAATGACAATAAGACAGTGGTATCACGCATTTGAGAGCAACATAATTGTTTTATAGACCTGCCACGCATTCAAGACCACGTTAGTCGAAGCGGCAAACTCGCTGCCAGATATATTTCTGGTAGATAACGTCCGACGAAGGTCAATTAGGCTGCAAAATTCATAAAACAGACTTTTAAAATTTGGACTTTTCTGCGAAGACACTAAATAAGTGGAACAAAAGACAGCATGGCAAAACTAATTATTAGTTAACGCAGTCCATCAGTAAGTAAAAGACAAGCAGTGATTCTATCACTGAAATAAAGTCTCTCAATAACGATAAAGAAGAGCGCAAAGAGTGGCGCAGAAACATACGATGAGTTGAGCTAGACCAGAAAACTTTCAGTACCCACCTCATGAAGTTATATCAATATTTAACGTGTCGAGTTCTATAAATATCTTGGCTTTCAGTTTGTTCTCTAACAATCCTCTTTCTTGGTTTAAAATCATTCATTTTCAACTTTTTCATTAAATACATTTAATTCTTTGATTAGAAAAAAGTAATATTTTGAGTGCCGTGCAACAAATTGTAGTACCATTTTGTGTCACCCCCTCATAATTAAGTATTATAATGCAGCTCAGCAACAGGGAATCACCCACTTTTGTCTTTCACTCAGAATCGTTAGTCATACCCATCATTGTCCACAAATTTTTGCAAATTCACAAATTTAATTACAAATCGCGCAGTGTGCGCTCATTAGTGAAGTATTTATTCGGCCTAATTTAGTTTAATATAATTATGATGAAAATACAATTTTTTCTTTTTTCTTTTTCTATTTCACAACTTGAATATTTTCATCAAATACAATAAATATACAGAACTAAATGGTTCGTAATTGGCATTTATTAGTCGCACGTCATAGATCGATGATTTTAAATGCTGTTGACAAAACCATTTCCGTATAGTTTTTGCAACTTTTATTTGGATGATTATTGCGAAATTTGTATCTGCTCACGTGCCTCTCATATATGAAAAATATCAAAAAAATAAAATAAATTGCGTTCGCGAAAAATGCAGAAAATTGCATGGAAATCCTTAATATATATTTATGTAAACGACTTTGTCTTGAATGACAGGCGGGTCAATCCACAGCATTAAACCACTGATCATAGATACTTGAAACTTAGACGGGGTATTTTGCCTATGATGCAGAGGATTTTCTAGGAAGTAAACCTGACACCGATCTATACAAAAAAATATTTTTTATTTTCAAATCATTCTATTTAAATAATTTTTTTTTTACATATTTAATTTGCTGAAAATTAATATGGGAATTACTTTATCATCCGTAAAATCTGAAAAATGTCGAAAATTAAATCAATATTTTGCGCACAAATAGATGAAAAGACGGATAGTAGATAAGTTAACTCAACTCGTGACTCTAATACGAACAGTATATATATTTTAATGTGTCTATCCCCTTAAGATGATCTAGACACTTTAGACACCATTTCATATGAAACAAAAACTATATTTCAAATGCTCTACCCTTTGTCAACGGTCTCTTGGATTTTCATCAGGCGCACCCCTTGTTCGGTTGAGGCAGAGGTGGGTAGTGCTGGGTTCGTCGTTAAAAATAGATAATTGCATCTCTTTCTGGTACTTACACAATCGTACTTCGCGCAAAAGTTGACTCGCAGTCAAGAAACATATAGTGATATTTGTTTCTTCTTTAAATCATTAGGCCGACAGTGCTGTCGTTCAACATATTTTATCACTTCTTAGCCTACCTTGGCGTTAAAGACGCACAATTTTGGCATTGTGACTGAGGCAGTGCTCATAAGAACTCTGCAGTGACTTATAAAATATATCTCTGATCAGCTTGTCACCAAGTTCTTCTCTATTATCAGGGCGTGGCCATAAATTAGTGATATATTCAATAAATTCATACTGATCTGGATTGCAGACGCTTATTCAGTCTCTTTCTGACAGCAGCTATGCGACCAAATTCAGCTTCTTTAAATGGTCGCCATAGTACATAATAGAAATTGCTCGTTAACATACTTTTGCGTTCCATGGCATACGGAGGCGCACGGTGGTTATGCCAGCTGAATGGCGATATTTTCCTAATCAAGTGACCAGATCGTGCACTCCAAATCGTGATGTTCACAACGTGATCCTAAAGTCTCGAAAAACTCGGTGAACAAAATTACCAGTTCGATACTCAATTTCTGACCAAACTTAAATTTCAAGTCCTTTGGCCAACATCGAAGTTCTATTTTCGTACAAATCTAAATTTAATTATTTAATTTTTACATATAAAACCGTATAGAAAATTGTAGTGTTTACAGAATTTTATTTTACATATGTACATATGTCACCTCCGCGTAAATTTTAGAAACATATTTATTTTCTAAGTACTCTGTGCAGTTGCTATTATTCAAAAATAAATTTAAAATAAAAAAAAAATTATATAAAAATTTTACGTAAACATCAATTACATTTTAAAATGAAATACATGTTTAGAAAGCATTTGATAACAAAATTACAAAAATTACAAAATCATCAGCTATATACATACATATATATACAAAACTACATACACAAAATTATAAATAAGAAAATTGTTTTAGACTAACGAGCCATTAATTTATATTTACTAAATACATATCTACATGTATATGTATGTATGTATATCTAATAGATACTCAATTCAAAATTGGCTGGCTACAAATCTCATACAATATTTTTCCATCGTTTAACATATTTTACTCATTATATAGCTTAGATATAACAAATTACATTTAATTACATTAATATAAATACAATTACACATATTTAGCTTAACTAATTTCGTGTCGGTAAAGTCCAAAATACACACACACACACACACACATCGGGAGTGCTTGAGAGATATGGAAGATTAGAATAGTTTTGGGGGTTGTTTGGGGGATAAGGAAGGCCTGGTTGATTGGTTGGCTAGTGGGCGGCTGGTTGCTCAATAGTCTTCGTCTTCGTCGGGCGGCTCTGTGGCATATGTCAGCTCATTCAAGTAAAACCATTTCTGAAAAATTATAATTTATATTTTATACGTAATTATATATAAACTGTAAAATATAATAAAAATGGATTGAAATAATAATAAGTGCATTTACCGGTGATTCTGTGCAATTAAAATTGTAATCCCAATCACAGATGCGATACTCCTGATTGAAAGAAGTCTCGTTGGCGCATAAATGCGGTATGCGATTGCCCTCTTCATCGCACATATGAAAGATCTAAGCGAGAGAGAATTCGATAGTTAGTAAAATGAAGCATGCTTTTAGGCTTTGCTAAATTGTGATCTTGTAAAAGTCGTGCTTAAAGCTTTAAAACTTGAAATGTGTGTAGTTTTAAAGCACTACACGATCTTCATATAAGATACTGAATGCAAGAAGGAGCTTTTAAGCTTCATTTTATTTATTTTTTTTTAATTTTTATATTTTCGTCGTAATTTTTTTTCTGTTGTCTCACCTGACAATTGTACTCCATATCGGCATAGAAGCCAACCGGTCGGTGTGTACAATCAAAAGAGAATGTGATATTATCTAAATTCGTCCACTCTTTCGTTTTGTGATTTTGAAATACTGGACTGGCGGCATCTTGTAACGTCAAGGCTGCAAGTAGAATTGGACCTGTGCACATGCAACAGCGGCATATTTGTTGTTGTTGTTTTTTTTTTTTTTTGTTGTCACAGTTTGGATTTGATACACATAATTTTGTGTTAATAATCAGTCAACAATATTTACAACATTGTATTAACAAGTTTCGGCTTTTATGGTTTTGTGGTTTATTTTTTTTTTTATTTACTTTGCCTACAACTACATACTTATTTGTGGTTAATTGATGTTTGCAAAAAAAAAGCGGTATTCTCAAATGTCGGATATTATGAAATGTATAATTTGAATGAGCGTAACCGGTTAGTTGGTGTATAATGGAGTTATGAGCAGCGATCCACTAACTAATCGCACTTTGATAAGGTGTGTCGTGAAGCAAAATTGTTTAGTAATCATTAAATAGAAATCAATTTTTTAATATTTTTGTATAAATTTTCCATTTATCAAACATTTTATTATAATGTAAAGTTATGATAAAGTTATTTTAACAAGATTATATTCATATATAACACAAAACTCTAGGACATAAAATCTCGTTGGAACAGTAAATGATAGAAACCTCACTTTTATATCAAATAAGCTTGCGGCAATAAAAAAACTTGCATAATTCTAGAATGGATTTATTTTCCTTTATGCTAGAGATCTTAAAGTTCTGCCTACAAAGAATAATATATAGAAAGTCCATGCTAAAAGTATGAAACAGAGAAATTTCATTTAATTTGGGTCCATGAACGGCCTGCCGTATTTGGTTTTTTGAAAGAATTCTTGATATATAATACAGATCTACCTGATTGCAATGTCGTGCAATTTTTTTTTTTTCATTTAAGAAATCTCAATTAAAAAATGAAAAAATTATTGAGCTAACTTTTGAAAATTCACTGATGATCTTAAGTTTCAACAAATACAATAAAACTAAATAAAATAATGCTATTCAGTAAAATGTTAATATAATAAAATAAAGCAAAATAAAATAAAATGAAACATAAGATACTAAAATAAAATTATATTAAATTAAATAAAAAAATTAAATGAAAAAAAAATAAAATAACAATTAATCAAATTAAAAAATGCGAGAAAATTTAATCTAATAAAATAAAATTTAATAATATCTAGTTAAGTTTAACTAACTTAATTTAACAAAAAATAAAAAAATAAAAAATATAAGGAGTCACATAAAAAATTAAATTTAAAAAATCAAAAAATAAAATAAAGTAATTTAAAACAACATAAATAAAAAGAGAAATAAAATAAAATGTAAAAAAAAATTAAATAAAATATAAATTAAATCAAATTAAATTTATTTATTTGCTAAAGTAAAAAATTTTAAATAAAAAAATTCAAATCTATAATTTCTTTATCAAATCTGCACCCATACATAATGAAGAGCATTACATATGTTTTGCTGTGAAACAAAATATACTAAATATACTAAATTAAGTCTATTTTCATATTTTTAATTTTTTTAATTTTTTTTGTTTCGTGGAAGCAATCGAATGCAACCTGTTAAGATGTTTTCACAAAAATCTTATGATTATTGCACTCAAATAACAATTATAAATATTATTATTTATATTAATATATAAATATATTATAGCGGGTGATCAAAGTAGAGGCACTTTTTTAATAGCCTTTTAGCGCCGTTCCCAGTAACTCAGACTGACGTAAGGAACAACGATCTTAAATAGAAAGCGTAAAAAATACAGCTTGTGCCAAAACTAAAGCCACTTGACGTTCCCAAGCGACATTGCTTCGCTCCATGGGCTGTTAAAAGGTTCGCAGAAGATCTGACGTTTTCGAGCCGTATTTCGCTCAAAGATGAGGCCCATTTCTTGGTTAATGGGTATATAAGCAAGCGAAATTTACGCATTTGTGACGAGGATCCGCCAAGAGAGATTTACGAGCTGCCATTTTATGCAGAAAAACCAACGGTTCGGTGTGGTTTGTGGTCCGGTGGAATCAGTGGTTGCCGGTGATGCCGGTGACATTTGGTTTCAATAAGACTGCGCCGCTTTCCACATATTGCACATACCAATAGATTTCTTTAGACCACACTGCGGTGAGCAGATAGTTTCAGGTTTCGGGCCAGTCGATTGGCCACCCGGATCGTGTGATATTACACCGTTAGATTTTTTCCTGTGGGGATATGTGAATTCTAAAGTCTATGTGGATAATTCCGCTTCGGTTCAGGCCTTGGAGCAAGACTTTGCGAGTGTCATTCGCTAGTGACCAGTCGAAATGTCCGAAGAAGTCATCGAAACAAAACAAAATGCCGAAGAATGATATTTATTATATATTATATTGTTTATATCAAAAAGGTGGAGAACCTAGAAATGGATCGGTCTTAAAAACAGTAGTGAATGCTTTAGATAACTTCGATGGTAATCACAGTCATTCAGTGATCTTTCCAGACAAATTGTAATTCCATCAAAATGAAGCAGAAATTTGGACTTGACCTACATATTAACTTAACACGCCTAAAATTTGGACATACGCTGCCCGTATACAAAGTATACACACTTCTATACACGTATAAATACTTTCCATTTGCTTTCACATTACCTTCATGTAGTACATATATACATATTTAACCAATAACATTCGCCAATTAACAATTAAAACATTTAAGCGCCTCAAGTTCATGCAGAAAATATTAATTGTGTATTCATTATAAAAAAACACAATAACAAGTTTTATATAAAACCTAATTAACAAAATAAAATTAATAAAAACAAAAACAAAGCAGCGAGGCCGTTAGCACAAAAAGAAAAAATCAACAAAGGTAAGTCTTTAGCCATCAAAGTATTTGCCATTAGTAATCAATCAATAATTAACAATCACCAATTCAAAACATACACACACACACACAAGTAAAGTAAAATAAAAATAATCTGAATACCAATAAGTAGTAAATATACAAACGAATGAACCGTTACTCTTTGCTTTATATATGTAATTATTAGTTAATAAAAGCATTGTTGTTGTTCTTCTATGATATTTGTGAATTAATATTTTGCACTAACCTAATAAAATGCCGGAAAGCCATAAAAAACGTCTACTGCAATCCATTTTCGTCCATAGAAATATTCCTCGTATGCGCAGAAATTTGTACTTGAGTTTTTTTACCCACACGCCTGCCAAATGCGGCGTCCAACACACACTCTCACACTCCAATCCACGCTATTCGCTTAGAATTTATGTCAGCGTGTGTGTGCGCAATTACGGCTTAATGGATGGAGGCTAAAAGAAAGCAACAGGTGCTATGCGTACTCTAAATCGTGGTCTATATGTGTTGTATATATGTAGGTATGACTGTGTGTGTGCCTCTCGTATGGTAAGTAGTATACGTGGTGTTTACGTTTGACGTTTACATACAGACATAGTTACTAAGTTGTCCAGATTTGTTTAGTTGCCATTGCACAGCGCGTCCATAATATGACAACCAGAAAAGCAATACAAACAAAACCAACTCACTTTGACTGGTGCATTTAATTTGGCAAGTACAAGTCACTCTCACAACTGTTTTAAAAAAATTTTGTTTTCTTTCTTTATGGCCTAAATAATGTACGATGTCGTTGACATTGCGTTTAGCTCGTGGCGAGGTCTTTGGTCAGTTGGTTAATCGGCGACAAGTTGGTAAATTAAAAAAAGTTTTCCTGCAATAAAGAAAGTGAAAGATGGTTAGTCAAACTAAAAATGGTAAATAAAAATAAGTAAAATTTGAATGCCCTAAAATAATTGAATTGAGAATTGTAAAAACCGGCAACTGTACAAGATTATATTTTATTTACTATTTTTCAATTATTGGTTAATACAATTTAGTTTTATTTCATTTAAAATTTTTTTATGAAAAAGTTAATTTACCATAAGCTTCTTCATATATATATATATATATGTAGCGAAAGAAAAGCTGATAGACAAATCACAATTTTTATCGAAATGATCAGGTTTACTGGCTGAGTTAATTCATCCATGCCCATCTGACCTTGTATCTGCACATAACCAGTCCTCAAACCGAAGCACTATAACACAAAGCTTCCATACTATCGATTGATTCATATATGTGATCCAAAAAACGTCATAAATACTGAAATAAAGCATCTAAGCACACGAAGCTTGGTATTACGGACATTGATACTAGAACTTGCCGAAATCGAAGGACAATATAATAAAGTTTCCATACCATACCAACTGATTTGCTCCGGCATTAGAATTTGAGTCAAAAATTCTTCAAAAGAACATTTATTTTATTTTGTTTTATTTAATTCTATATTTTTCTCTTGTTCCATTTAAGTTTATTTTATTTAATTTTATTTTTTTAAATTTATTTTTTGCATATTTATAGTTTATTCTATTTTGATTTATTATATTTTTATATATTTTATTTTTTTAGCTTAGTTTTCTTTACCTTATAATAATTTTTTCTATTTTATGTTATTTTATATTTTTTCATTATATTTCATTTTATTTTATTTTATTTTATTTTATTTTTTTTATTTTATTTTATTTTATTTGATTTTATTTTATTTTATTTTATTTTATTTTATTTTATTTTATTTTATTTTATTTTATTTTATTTTATTTTATTTTATTTTATTTTATTTTATTCTATTTTTTTTTATTTTGTTTTATTGTTTTATTGTTATTTCGTACCATAATCAATCCACTCAGGCTGTGATTATTCTGAAATATGCCCAAACCTAAATGTCTTCTATTTAAATATCGTTGGCGTATAACTGTTAACAATCGGCAGTGTTGGTGTGTAGAGCTGGCCTTCAATTATTATTACATGATTATTATTTAAGCTATTATTATCAATTAACGCATTTACATTCGCATTATGAACTATATATATAAACCTTTTCCACAAACTTATATTTCTTTACTCTTATTAATCGTAGGACTTGCTAAATTCTGCAAGGACTGAAAGTGATTCTGATATGAAATAATTTGAAATTAAAAGTTTATATTTCTTTGGTAATTTTTTTGGTGATGTTATTTTTACTATTTTTTATCTATTTTTATATTTATGTTATTCTATTTAACATCGAAACTTTTTCTCATATTTTTTTTTTAGTTTTACTTTAGATCAAGGTTAGAAACGCAATTTAATGGAAATAATTAAATTAGATAAATTTGTTAAATAGCATTATAATTAAAGGTGACAAATTGATAATCACATAAATTGTTTTTCATAACAAAAACAGAACAGCACGAATGACATGCCGTTAATTAGCAAAACACGTTAAATCCGCACTGTAATTCACCAATAAGTCTGAACAAGTGATATAATGAATTCGTTAAAGATTTCGCTAATTTTAAGCGTATTATTTCCGCAACTAAAATCAACAAATTAAAACAACAAACAAATTAACTAAGCAAAAACTATACTTATGTATAGGTATATGCGTGTGTGTGTGGATTGCGTGAACGTTGAAAAATTGCCAATAATTAACTGAACAAAACAAATTAAGATGTTTAGCAAAGTGTCGTTAAGCTAATGTTATCGCATGCAATTTTTCATGATATTCTTAGTAATTAATCAATGTTTGGGCAAATATTAAAAATTGCAAAGTTTAATTTATTTATGTTTCTAGTGTTTTTGTTTCTATTTAAAATTTTTGTGTTTTTTTTTTCGCCAAATTTTCAGCAAACAATTTATGTTGTGTCGATGAATCGCATTTATTCACCAATGACAACATAAGACAATTAAATAGTCAAGTTAGTCTCTGTACTCGTATACTCGTATAACGGTATTATTTTCATAGCTCACATTGTACATCCACGCAGTTCCCACAAACGTCAGCGTTGACATCTGCAATTATCTGACACCAGTTCGCAACCTGTTCGACGTGTTTGAAAAATTATTTGTCTGCCATTGGTGCCATCTGCATGGCTGGTATGAATGTCTATTGGTAAGGTGGTAGGGTATTTAGCTAATATGTCAATATTGTTGAACCCCTGACATTTTTCGGTAAATTTATGACTTCTTATTTATTTGAAATTTCGTTTCTCATCACTTTAATTGGTGTGCATTCTTCGGTGTTGTTGGCATTGCTGTGAATGTTTTTTCAATTTTTTTTTTTTTTGTTTTGTTTTTTTGTGGACGTCTGCTTTGAAATGAAGTTTTCATGGACAAGTCAATGTGGTTGTTTTACCTGTTTCTCAAATGTATAGTGGAAAAATATGTTAAAGCTCCTTGATAAGAAAAATGTGTCTTCCTATAATTCCTCTGGTAGTGGATTTTAGGAATAAATAAAATTAATATTTGACATTTCTATATGTTTCAGTATGCTGGTATAAAAAATTACACGAGAGTTATATGCTTTTTAAAAATTTTATTCTGAAATCGCTTTAAGATACTTTCGTCTTTGCTCCCTGCTTAAGCGTGTATTTGACCATTGTCACATCCATGCCTTTTGTGCGCAACCGTGCCTTATCGGGCAGACAAGCGAGATTTCTATTAAATGTATCGGAATACACTTAAAAAAAGATACAAGTGCAAGTACAGTCTGGCGGACAGGCGGATATTTTCTGCAAAGCTTTGGCTTTAGTGACTTTCAGAACTTTGACTCATCTTTTCCAAAACGATATAAAGTTTTTTCTTATATTTTTAAAACAACGAAAAGACAACCCTTTTAGAAATGACGGTCAAATTAATCAAGATTCGATATTTAAGCAACACTCTTCTATGCCCAAAATCCCATCTAGAAACATAACCAATATATTTATTAAGTAAGCAAATGAGAAATTTAAAAAAAAAATTATTTTTGCTGAGTATTTAACCAGATCTGCAAGAAATTTACGGTTCATGCTTGGATAGTATTTAGAGCGAGTTGATCGAAAGATTGCTGCTATAACTTAACTTGCGCTCAAACAGCCATCAATATCAACTCAACATCGTTCTCAAGAAATGAATATTACACAGTATGCGCCAATTATCGTAGGATAAGCATCTTCTACGAACGCCAATTAGGTACTATCGAGTGTTTCGTATGAAATACTAAAGTCAAATCTCATGAAAAGGAGCTACCTCTACGCCGCTATTCGGTATACTCGCAAAACTTCTACAGGTATGTAAACTGTCGCTAAGCAACAATCAAATCTCCATGAGAATCAGGTAGGACTTCTCCTAACCATTCCATATCGAACGAGGTTTCAGACAAGGTCATTCTTTACCGTATAACTTTTATAACTTATTAACTGGAGAAAATATATAATACGAACTGCAGAGCTGAATATAAAAGGTATTATCCTCTATATTGGTCTCAAACCCCGCGCTGTGAGTTCTGCTTTCTCAAGCTTGGAGGAGGCGAAGAATATGACGAATAAGACGAAATATCTACTGTCATCGAAGAGTCATCCCACTTGCGACTCGGCTCTCACGCCAGTAATGACAGTCATAAGTGCTACTTTGGACCGAGTAGGCTATTGAATAGTAAAGTCCTCTCTCGTCGAACGAAAACCGAACTATACAAGTCCCTCATCGTTTCCGTCCTGCTATATGCTGCGGAAGCATGGAAGATGACAATATCTGATGAGTCGGTGTTAGGAGTTTTCGAGAGAAAAATTTTACGTAAGATTTATGTTTCAGTGTTCATTGAGAAGGGCAACTACTGCACGATGAGCTGTACGAGCTATACGATGATATTGGCATAGTTCAGTGAATGAAGAGAGCGACTAGGCTAATGGAGAAGGGCCCAGCTATAATTTGTATTTCCTAACTGAAAAGGAAGGAATAAATGGCTCCAGTAAAGAAGATGAAATCATGCTCGTCAATCAGAACATATTGGTATACATTTTGAACGGTTTATATCTTCGGCAGCTGACGCTAATGGGAGATGCAAAAGTAATAGGTTCAGTACCTTATGCTCATTACAGTAGCAAGTTCGATTCAAACACATTTCTTATTCACTCATCATATGCATATTGAAGCGGAAACAGTATTCAAGACATCGCTCATAGCGCAGGCAATGTGATGCGCCAAAAATAGGTATAATTACGATGCTGAAATGCGTTACAAGGTCATGCGAAAAAATCCGGCAGACAAAGGTACGCTTTGTGAACAAGTTTCATTCATATGCAGACTAAGCTGAGAGTTTATGTATGTATATAAATATAAATTAATACTTGTTGTTGTTTTTTTTTTCAAGACATTTGGATATGCTTTTGATTGAAATGATTGGTAAAACCATGTGATTTTCTGCTTTTTTGGCAAGCATTCAAACACATCGAAAATTAAGTGACCAAGACAAGGTTGCTGACAGCGGATTCCATGCCTAAAACTCATAAATCTTTCAAAATTTTTTTTTTTTTTTTTTTTGATAAATATGCTTACGCATGATTTTAAACAGCGTCATATAAATAAATGTGAATAAATTAATTTTTGCCTAATAAAATCGTTGCGTTAGAGAAATCTGAAATAAAAACAGTTAGTGAACAGAAACTGTTATTTAAATATTGCAAGAAGTTTTTAACGAACTCAAGAAAAAATCTACTGCTGCTTCGTGCAAATATATATTTAAATAAATGTGCCTCATATGAAATACCGCCTATGAATTAAAATATTTGGTTTGTCAGGAATAGGAATCCACGCATATTTTAGCAATAATGTCAAAAACGTGCGCACAATATTCATCTAGATACAAATCTACAA